TTGGAGTTCCGCAGGTGCTCTGGTTGGCTGAGTGGGTCTGTAGATGTGGGTCTTGGTGTATTTGTGGGAGAGGGTGACTTACAAGCGTCCTTCTACTCCGCCATCTTGCCTGGCCATATTCTCCATTGAATTTTTAAATTCAGAAATAATGCTTTTTTTTCTTCCAGAAGTTTTTCCTGTGATCTAATTGCAACTCCTTAAGAGTTCTCATTACTTTTTTTTTTTTTGGTTATAGTGCTTGTCTGTCTTTTGTATTAGTTCTGCCTCACTAGGAGCCACCTGTTCTTTTTTTTTTTTTCCCAACTCAGTCCTCTTAAATTAGTTGTGGTTTTTTTTGCCTACTCACACCCACACAGGTCAGGCTATTGGTGTCTTTTAATGAACTGACAGGTGGTAAAAGGTTGAGCTAGGGATTGGGGTCTAATATCTTAACAGATGGACTGGAAAACCACCATCTCTTTGCTGAGGCATGGAAAGCAGGGCTCTCTGTCCTTAGGCCTCTTGAGGAAAGAAAAGGCAGTCCCTTTATCACCCCTGCAGTTTCATCAAGGCTGCCGGCATTCTTTTAATGGGGCATCATTTTAAAGGACAGTGAATGTCTATGGGAAGGGGAAGTGTATCTCCATGTGCAGAGAGGCATCTATTTACTACATAGGTAGAGCTGCCTCAGGCAGGCAAGAAATCTGTGGTCTTGCACCAGACTCTGCTAGAAATGCACATCTTCACTTGGACCGTTTGGGAACTCTGAGATACAAATAAGGATACTAGAACCCACTTTTTTCCCCCTGAAAACTCAAGTGTTGATATTTACCTTAATTCCCCCATAGTAGGCCACTCTTTCAGCTCTGCTGCCATAACAAGTTACTGGACAGAAGGGCCTGTGACCGTGCTCCCAGATCACCATAAACCCTAGCTTGCGAATGTTATGCTGAAAGAGGATTAAGGATTTTTCTTTGTTATTATTTGAATAATTTGAGAAATGATAATCAAACTGGATTAGAATATTGGTGTAAAACAGAGTGTACCTGTGGCAAAATAGTCATAGGAGAAGTTATGTACAGATTATAAAATGTTTCACTTGCTCACTATGAAAAATACTTTTCCAATAGAAAAATTCTGAGAGCAAAATGGAAAGTAGCTTTGAAATTAGAAACCATTGTGCTTCCTTATTTCTCACTTAAAAGAAGTTTAACATTTTATTTCCTGATTTTGACTCAACCTTGGCAGATATAATGGCTTGCAGATTTAAGTCCTAAAGTCAGTTGTCTACCAGAAATGTCAAATCAGTCCCTTGTGTTGGGCAGTAAGTGGGAGTGCCTGTGGTTGATAGGTGCAGCCATCTTTTCATGCAGCTACTCCCAGAAAACATTACTTAGGAAAACGATGCTCTTTTTTTTTTTTCGGTTTGCTTTTTATTTTTTTTAAACATTTTTTATTGAGTTATAGTCATTTTACAATATTGTGCCAAATTCCAGTGTAGAGCACAATTTTTCAGTTATACATGAACATACATACGTTCATTGTCACATTCTCCTTTGCTGTGAGCCACCACAAGATCCTGTGTATATTTCCCTGTGCTACACAGTACAATCTTGTTTATCTAGTCTGCATTTTGAAATCCTAGTCCCGTCCCACCCCCTGTCCCCTTTGGCTACCATAAGTTTGTATTCTATGTCTATGGGTCTGTTTCTGTTTTGTATTTATGGGTTTTTTTTTTAGATTCCACATGAGTGATCTCATATGGTATTTTTCCTTCTCTTTCTGGCTTACTTCACTTAGAATGACATTCTCCAGGAACATCCACGTTGCTGGAAATGGCATTATGTTATCGGTTTTTATGGCTGAATAGTATTCCATTGTATAAATATACAACCTCTTCTTTATCCAGTCATCTG